TTATTGCAACGCTTTGCAAGACTGTGATCACTTTACTACATTGTGTGTAAAGGAGACTCTTGGATATCCTCTAGACAAACAAATCCACTGTTTGGATTAGTGCTCCTCTGTGACCTTTGCACATTTGAATAGTTTCTTGAAGATCTTCGGAGTGGGTCAGAAAACAGAATAATTTAGAAAATGGGGAGCAAGCTCAACAACCTTAAGAAAGGTTGGAAGGAAAATATGGAGTGCATAGACAGAAAAGTATGTATGTATGTATGTGGTTTTTGTGTGTGTGTAATAGGATATATATACAAACACAGAATAATGTGCAACAGTTGATTGTTCCTTTTAAACCCATCCATCTCCGACTGGTCTAGTTGGTGACTAAATCACAATTCCTTGGACTGAATTATTTGAACAGCTGATCTCTGTCCTTGAAATGTGTTGATTTGTTGTATTTTCCTTTTGCAAAATGAGTTTGTCTCCCACCGGATTTGGAGCAGTTTAAAAAAAAAGTTATCTTTTAAATTTACTATTAAACATATATTTAGTTGATTCTACAACATTTTTTTTTCTGCCTGACTTGCTGTTATACTCTAGCTTTCATTTTAGAATATAAAATAAAAATGTAATGTCTATGAGATATAAAGGGATATAAAGGGGAGTCAAAGTGACTGCAAATGGAAATTGCTTATGTATCACTTCTTCTGTAGCTTCACTTACATTTTTCACTTCCTAGAGGCTCAGTTTATTTGGAGAAAAAAAAGAAGAGGAAAAAGATAAAAACATCTCTACACACACGCACACACGCACACACACACACACACACACACACACACCCCACGGTGGTTCTGAACCCATTGGACTGTCATGGGCTCAGGTTGCTGGAATATCTGGTCTCCACAATGAAGGAGCAAAATCCAATGACTCAGTAGATAACTTGATTGATTTGGGCAATGAATGGCAGATTTATTTCCCACCCTAATTAATGCTAAATGTAGCTTAAAGTCTTTCCCATTTCTACCTTATGATACTATAAACATTCTCTGGCAATATTTTTATTTTTCCATGTGCCCATGATATGAGCAGCTTTAAGCCCGGTAAGCTTTACTAGAGTTAAACTACTGTTTTCCCCTTGATAGCATCTGGCAGTTTATAGTGTGTACAATCTGCCAAACTTTGTAGTGGTACAGTCAATGTGAGGTATGAGATGAGTCTGTCACTTATCAGTCACTTCAGGCTGATGCTTATAGGTTTCTGCCCCCCTTGGTTCTGGTTCTCCTTCTCTGGCAACTCAGTGTACTCTGTTGATTCATTATATGGGGAAATTGGGAGGGAGAGTTAAAATCTTTCCCTGGATTTGAAAGAACTGGCTCATGGTTTGTTTATCTGTGTGCAATTTTAATTTAACACTAAGCCCATGTTCAAAGCAACCCTCCAAATAACTGATCCATGGAGGTCTGTGCATTCCCACTTTATCAGGCATAGCTCCCCATCCCACTCGTTATCTGATATGTGGGCTTGCAAAGGTCCTTGGCTTTCACAGATGCTAAAGCATGCAGGTCTGGACATCTCTCAAAACTATTTGCCAATCACAACAGTGTGATTGTGGATGGTTTCCCCCAACTGGTCATATTCAGAAAAGTGGCTCACAGCTAAGCCAGAGGATTTAACCAATAGGTCTGTTTAATACACTCTGGAAACCTAAAATAAGAATAAACCATAAGAACTGCAGTTACAATGGCAAGACAGAGATTAACAGTGGGACAGTTGATTTTATGCTGGTTTTTCTTCTGATGGCTGAAGAGTGGAATGAAAAAAAAATATTAGGGTGTCATGCAAACAATGTCTATAGCATTTAAAGAAATAACATTAGCAAAAATGACAAAAAAGACCCTCACACACCCCCTCCAATTCTGTCATGTTCTGTTACTCTCTTCGCAGTGTTTGGTGAAGAGTTCAAAACATGAGCCAGGAATATTTCTGACAAGTGGACAGTGTTTTCTGAGAAGAGCATCAACAAGTAGCTTGAAGCTACATGGGGAGAAATTGTTTAATGATAATTAAAATATACCTGTGGTTTCTTTTTAAAAAGTTCAAAACTGGTAAAAAAAAATCACAATAAAGTACTATAATAATATAGTATTGGACAACAAAGATTATGCTTCCTGAACACTTTGGGGTATATCTTACAGTTTTCTGGCTGCTAATCATGAAAATAATCTGTAATTTAACCTATCACATACTGTTTTATAGAAATTTTCTGCTTTTACACAATAGCAATGTACATCCTTCAGTACCTGTTGGCTACATGGGAAAGAACATACAAAGACATGGAACTGCTGTTAAAATACATCCAGTACATCAAGTACAACTGAAATGTTTGTGGAGATCTAAAGATAGTGGCTCTGCTGCTTAGAATGCAACTTGGATATACCAGGTACTGAAGTTACATAAGCAAATGGGACAGCCATGCAAAAAAGTTGCATTACAATAAAAAGAAATGGCCACTCTGAAAAAAAAATTGGTTCCAGGACAGAAAAACATGGAACATAAATCACTTGTTGACCTGACAAAGATATTTTTTGCCTCTGTTTCATATTAAACTCAAAACTGATGAAAAATGTTGTTTCCTGTGTTTCCAAGAATAACTGATGCCAAGATTAAGAAATACATTTTTGTTGATCCACAGATCAGATACCTCATTAATGACAAGCAGTTTGATGATCTATTAGTGGGACCAGAGAAAATTGCCTGGAAAGCATTCAAGGATGTTGAGAACTTTCTGGGCAACAACAGAGCACCAAACCACACTTAGCTGGTTGACAGACTTCCTACAGCATACAAGTTCATGAAGTGCAGCATTCACTGAAGATTCATTTTCTGCATCCACACTGGACTTCTTTCCTAAAATCTAGGTGCAGTCAGTAATTAACATAGGTTTTACCAGGACACTGCCACAATGGAAAAACTATATCAGAACAATCTATCAGTGCTGGCTGACTCTTATTGGACACAGCAGCAAAATTCATCAGACATTGAATATAAATGCAAACCAGCAGCAAAACACTTTTAGCTCCGTTGAACTCACGCAGCATGTCAGAAACATTATGTGATTAAATACATTAGAGTCATTAAAAGTTAATTTCATATTTCTCAAGATTCCCATGTTTCACAAACATTCTGAAATTATATTTGTATTTAATTTGAAGGGGTCTATGATAGTCACTAAAAGGTCTTCAGGAAGCAAAACTGAAAAAAATTGCTGTCCAGTAATAATGTAATATTATATGATAATGCTAATTTAATGTATAAGGCTAATAATATATCAAGCAACTCAGTTATGAATTAAAAAATCTTCACAGTAAAGTAGATCCAAAATCAAGATTGGTGTGGTTCTGACCACATTATTGTATAACACAATGTAATATTTAGGATTTAAGCCTTAGTAGAATTCTTAACTCAGGATCTTTTTTTGAGAAATCAACACTCAGATTTGTCATCTGTCTCCTCTTCTTCTTCCATCCTGCCTTTTATTTTCCACTCCATTCTGTCAATTCCAGCCACCACCCCCACCACCCCCAAACTGGTCTTCCGGTTGAACCATCAGGAAGGAAGAGGGGAAGGAAAGAGCAGAATGGTCGGATGTAGGTATATTTAGCACCAGGAATGGGCTCTATTTGGCCCCTGTATCTTGGGAGTGGGCCTTATCTAATGAGGTAAGGTTAAACATGATCACATTGGGGGAAAGGCTGCTTCTGCTTTCCTGCCTAATGGGTCTCCTCCATAGTCCTCTCAACCTGAACGAAGCAGCAACAAAAAAATATTGCCAAGCATTTTGTCTTCATTTGTAATGTAGATACAAACAGAGAGTTTTTAAAACCATTCACAATCTCCTTGTTTCTACATCTTCTATGGGGTTTGCATGATCTGTATTGTTTTCCTTGAGGTAATCTCTTCACTCTGTCTTAAGGCCTTTTTCTGCCTTCCAAGTCACATTAAATCAGAATAGAGTGGAAGGGACCTTGGAGGTCTTCTAGTCCAGCACCCTGGGAGATCCTATACCATTTCAGACAAGTGACTGTCTAGTCTCTTCTTAAAAACTTCCAATGATGAAGCATCCACAACTTCTGAAGGCAAGCTGTTCCATTGGTTAAATGTTCTCACTGTTAGGAAGTTTCTCATTAATTGCAGGTTGCTTCTCTCCTTGATTAGTTTCCATCCATTGGTCTTGTCCTGCCCTCTGGTGCTTTGGAGAATAGGTTGACTCCCCCATCTTCTTTGTGGCAGCCCCTCAAATATTGGAAAACTGTTATCATGTCACCCCTAATTTTTCTTTTCTTTAGACAAGCCAAACCAGGATCCTGCAGCCATTCTTCATGTGTTTTAGTCACCAGGCCTTTAATCATCTTAGTTGCTCTTCTTTGTAGTTTTTCCAAAGTCTCAACATCTTTTTTGTAGTATGGTGACCAAAACTGGATGTTGCATTCATCCAGTTGTGGTCTTACAAAGGCTTTATAAAGCAGTAACTAATACTTCAAATTATTTTGATTCTGTGTCTCTGTTTATACAACAAAGGATTGTATTAGCTTTTTTGGCTGCTGCCACACACTGTTGACTCATGTTTAAGTGATCGTCCACTAGGACTCCAAGGGCCCCCTCACAGTTACTGTTTTTGAGCCAGGTTTCGCCTAATCTGTACTTGTTCCAAGGTAAAACCTTGCTTTTCTCCACATTAAATTCAGTTTTGTTGGATAAAGCCCATTGTTCAAGTCTGTCAAGATCTTTTGGGATCCTGAGCTTGCCTTATGGGGTGTTAACAAAAAAGATCTTGATAGACTTGAACATTGCTATAATAGGAAGCCATAGAGGAAGATGTAATTCAGAATGAAGTCAAACATTTCTCCCTTTCCTACTCTTCTTCTTTATTGTTTTGCCCCCTTTTTTTAAAAAAATGAGGCATTACCCCTCCATTGCATTTCCTGATTTATCTGTTCTCCTTCCTATTCTTGCAGGATGGATCCCGACAGCGCCGTATGCAGCCCCAGAAGAAGAAGACAGTCTCCTTCAGCACCATGCCTAGTAATCGCAAGCTGAACAGCACAGCTGCCTGCATCTCTTTCATGCTGGAGGGCTGTGAGATGAAGAAAGTGCGCTCTAACTCTCGCATGTACAGCCGATTCTTTGTGCTGGACCCAGACCTACGTTTCATGCACTGGGAACCTTCCAAGAAGGACTCCGACAAAGCCAAAATCGAAATCAAGTCAGTCAGGGAAGTGCGAGTTGGAAAAAAGACTCCTGTGTTGCGTTCCAATGGCCTCTCAGATCAGTTCCCAGATGAATGCGCGTTCTCCATAATCTATGGAGAGAACTATGAATCCCTTGACCTTGTGGCAAGCTCTGCTGATGTGGTGAATGCATGGGTGATGGGCCTGCGATATTTGGCCTCATATGGGAAGCACACGCCGGATGACGCTCCTGAGACTGGTTACCCAAATCCCCGCACCTCCTGGATCTATTCTGTCTTTGACATTGCAGATCTAGAAAAAGAGGGTCAAATCCCAGTTTCTCGTGCTGTGCAGCTCATTCGTGCTCTCAACCCTGGCATGAAGGCCTCAACAATTGAGTTGAAGTTCAAAGAGCTCCAGAAAGCAGCCAATGAGCCACTTGGAGAGGAGGTGAACTGCCAAATCTTCATAATGGCGTACTGTGAGCTATGCACCAGGCCTGAGGTATTTTTCCTCTTGGTTCAGTTTTCCAGCAATAAAGAATACATGGGTCTGAGGGATTTGATGAGTTTCTTAGAGGCAGAGCAGGGTATGGAAGAAGTAACCGAAGAGATGTGCATGGAGATCATTGCCAAATACGAGCCATCCAAGGAGGGTCGGGAAAGGGGCTACTTGGCCATTGATGGCTTCACTCGCTACCTCCTTTCAGCTGATTGTGACATATTTGACCCACAGCACCGGAAGGTGTGCCAGGACATGTCTCAGCCACTTTCCCATTACTTCATTAGCTCTGCACATGGAGCATGCTTGGCTGAGGACAGTTGCTTCTGGGGAGGCTCCACCTCAGACATTGGGGGTTATGTGGCAGCCCTTAAGGCTGGTTGCCGTAGCTTGGAACTTGTGGTTTGTGATGGTTCATCTGGTGAGCCTGTGGTTGGTGCAGGGAGCCGTTTGGCCTTCTCCAGGGTAGTGGCTGCTGTTGCTGAACATGCCTTTGAGTCCTCCAAGTTTCCACTTATCCTGTGTCTCTCAGTGCGCTGCTGTGTTGCCCAGCAGAGGCTCGTGGCTGGGTATCTGAGGAAGTCTTTGGGGGATAAGCTGTACTTGACACCTCCAAACCCAAATGAAACCTATTTGCCATCTCCAGAAACACTCAAGGGATACATCCTCATAAAAAGCCGGAAGCTTCTTCCAAACTGTCATTCAAGTGAGGGAGATGTATCTGATGATGATGAGGCCTCAGAGCTAGGCCTCCCACTTTCTGAACGGGACAGAGAGCATCCCCGGTCCCAATGCATCTTGTGCCGTGAACTTTCAGATCTTGTCAGCCTGTGCCAGACTGTGTCTTTCCAAAGCTTTGAGACTTCTCGGCGGAGCCAGTGTTACTGGGAGGTGTGCTCTTTCAGTGAGGTGGAAGCTGGACGTTATACCAATGAGGAGCCGGAGGACTTTGTGGCCTACAACAAGCGCTTCCTGTCACGTGTTTATCCCAGCCCCATGCGCATTGACGCTAGCAACATGAACCCTCAGGACTTCTGGAAATGTGGCTGCCAGATGGTGGCCATGAACTACCAGACACCTGGTCTCATGATAGATCTGAATGCCGGCTGGTTCCGCCAGAATGGGGGTTGTGGCTATGTGCTCCGCCCAGCAATTATGCGAGAGGAGATCTCTTACTTCAGTGTAAACACCAAGGACACCTTACCTGGCATTTCAGCCCAATTACTGCATCTCAAAGTCATTAGTGGTCAGAATCTGCCTAAACCCAAAGGATCTGGAGCCAAGGGAGATGTGGTAGAGCCATACGTCTGTGTTGAGATTCATGGCATTCCTGCTGACTGTGCAGAAAAACGCACCAAAACTGTGCTGCAGAGTGGAGATAACCCTATTTTTGAGGAGACCCTGGAGTTTCAGGTTAATCTCCCTGAGCTAGCAATTCTCCGGTTCATGGTGCTTGATGATGATTATATTGGGGATGAGTTCATTGCTCAATATACCATCCCCTTTGAGTGTCTCCAAACAGGCTACCGCCATGTGCCTCTTCAATCTGTGGTTGGTGAGCCACTCCCCAACGCTACTTTGTTCGTGCATGTGGCCATCACCAACCGGCGTGGAGGAGGCAGAGCACACCGACGGGGGCTCTCGGGGCGTAAGGGACGGCACATGCGGGAATACACATCCACGAAGGCCACAGGAATCAAGGCCATTGACGAAGTGTTTCGCACAGCTACTCAGCCACTGCGGGAAGCAACAGACCTGCGGGAGAACATGCAGGTATCCAGATAGTGGGATACAATAACTTGGGCTCCTGAGTTTGGTTTGCAAAAGTTTGGAAAAGAGCAAAATGTGCCCCTTGGATTTTGAACTTTTCTGGAAAACCATCTAGTAATCTATTTCCTGTACCATGTTTGTATTCTGAAACATTTCAAAATTATAAAGATGAAACACATGAAAATGAAAAATAATTTTAAAAATGAATTTACTTTAGGAAAATGACTTAAAGACAAGACCGCTCTTTTCTCTTGGTCTGCATAAAGATGATGGAGACTCACATTTTTGGGGGGTTTTGGGGAAATCTTTTGAAGATAGATCTGGGTTTTGTTTTTTTTTTGCAAAAAGTACTCTAATTTCTTTAATGTAAAAAAAGGAAAAAAATTAATAAAATTTTTTAAAAACTTGCACAAACATCATATTGCATATAAAAAGCTACTTAGCCCATTTTAAGCACATTAAAACTTGATGACATAGAAGAATATTGATCAGCCTCTCCAGCACATAAACTGCATTCATATTTTTAAACATTGGTTTGTTATAATATTATATTAATGAACTTATTGACATAAAACCAAAAGGTGAAATAGTGTGACAAGCCCTAATCATAAGAGTAAATATTCTTTCATCCATTTTATTCTTCCAATATAATAAAAATGACATGAACCACCTTCTTAAACATCATTTGGAGTGTCTGGCAAATATGAAAGAAAATCTTTTGTTGAATTATCTTGTCTTAAAATCATAAGGAACATATTTAATATTCTTTAAAACATTGATTTGCTCATTTGGGATATTCTGAATGTTTATTCCAGAGTTCTTGCAAATAACTAATACTGACCTCAGTAATACTCTTTAATTGTTTGTTTTAAAATGCTACAAATCAATCAAACACATTTTCCTACTAACATTACTTTGGGAGCTTTAAATATTGCTGAGACAAAATTCATTTGGATGGATTTATGAAATCAAGAAATATTTTAATTGAATAATCACCCATTATGCCGCTGTAAACAATACAGATTTTTCTTGCAATAATGCATATCATTTAAAAATTGATTGTCAGTAAGCTGAGCCAGAGTATCCATATCCCTAAATACTCATCATTTTGGGAAGCAACAATAAATGGTTTATTTACAATTTTAAAACCGGGGTGATTCCAGAGTCTACATTTGTCATGCAAATAAGGACTGGCATTATGCTTGACTCACAATAGCTTTCAAATGTGTCTTGAAGCCTCTAGCAGAGCCCTAAAATACTACACTGCTATTGCTGAATGTGGAAGGAAACCCCTGCTATGATATCAGAAGAGTCATAACAATAACTTTCTAATCTTGCCCATCACATTTTTTTAACATCATTTATGTTCCATGGAGAGATTGGAATCAAAATACATGCTCAGTCAGAAAACTGAAGGTCAGAAAACTTAAGATTCAGCTCCCCGTCATCACACGATAGCCATTAATTAAATGTGTTTGTCCTTGTCATAGAAAAAATTCAAAATATCTTATCAATCTGCCTAAAATAACTCGCAGCTATCAGCAGATGAATACCTCTAAGTAAATACATAAATCTTGAATAATAGTCATTTTTTTCTTTTTCCATAACTAGGTTTTAACTATTTGTTCATTTTTTCATCAGAGATTAAAATATTGATGTATTTTCATCCACAAAGAACATTTTTGAGAATAATTATTCCCAGATATTTAAAAGATTCAAGCTACAAATGCAACCCCATTTTTTACAGATTATCACAGAAATTTAAAAACCTATAGAGAAGTTTATGAGACTTTTTCCAGTAAATTAAATTACTTGATAAATTACTAAACTGTTACACAATAACAATTGAATAAAATGTATATAGTTATCAATGACCTTAGTATTAAGTTCTTTGTGGTATAGAAATATATTAAATAATAAAAATGCAGGCAAATGTACGTGTATAAACACAAACACACAGGAAAGTTCATTAAAAAATTGTGCCAGATTTAAGTTTTGCCAAACTTGAAATCAGTGATCCTGCTCTGTAATTAAAAATGAATCTCAGTAATTCTCCCTTTCTTTAATTCTATTTAATACTTAGTAGTTTCTTTGTTGCCCCTGCAACAGATTCTACCACCTGTACTAGTCCTCAATTAATGATGGCAATTGGGACCAGAATGTCCATTGCTAACCAACACAGCCACAAAGTGTGGTGTCATGTTACTGCAGCACTTAGCAATAGCAGTTCTGATATGGTTGCCATTGTTAAGTGAATCGCTGCAGGTCATTAAGTGAGGACATCATTGGTTGCCATTTGTGATGGCCTGCCTGTTTCCCCATTTAAGTTGCTTGTCAGAAACTAGCAAAATAGGCCACAGTAGACATCCATGTGACTGTGGACCACTGCAATGGCCACATCTCTGAGATCAGATTGTAAGTACCACTCATTTAGCATTGTTGCAAGTTTGAACAGTCGCTGAATGAGTAGTTATTAACTGAGGACCACCTGTAACTTTCACTTTATAGACTGGGAGAAATGAAGTAAAAAGCCAGTTTCAGTTCTGTTGATCTATCTGTGATCTCAATTCATTGTACCCCACTGTTTGTGTAGGTTTAAAATAAAATATTAGATGCCTGTCTCCCACCCCCACCGCTCACTGCTTTGGTGATAGGTGTGACTATGCTGAAAAAGAACTCCCATCTTCAAAATTGTTCAGAATGACTCTGATGTTCGATACGCATTAGAAATTTCTCCCCCAAAAGAGGGGTAAGATCAAGACCTTCATATTTCTAAATCCTTGGGGATGGAGGCATTATAAGTTGCGGTAGAAAAGAGTAAACAGAAATGAAAAGGGCAAAGTGATGTTCTTCCGAGTTGGTGTTTCTCCTCATCCTCTTTTCTTTTCCTAGAATGCCTTGGTCTCCTTCAAAGAACTCTGTGGCCTAACACCAGCCGCCAACATCAAACAGTGCATCTTGAAACTGGCCACGTGGCTTCAGCCCAGCGAGAAGGACAATCCGCCCACGGTCACCCTCAACCTGGGTGAAGAGTATCCTTCCATGGAGACCCAGGGGCCTGTTCCTGAACTCTTGAGAAAAGTACTTGCTGCCTATGACACTGTGAGTGCAACTGGTGATTGTGCAGATGTCCTCCTGGCCACTGCAGTGGGTGCTGGCTGCTGCTCCTTGGTGAATTGTGCTCTATTCTGATAACTTGGCCTGAATTTGCCTAATCTGCCTACATGGCAAATTCACCTTCGTAATAGACATCATTTTGTAGTAGACCCACGCAAGCATGAAACACTGGTCTTTTAGAACATTAATCTAGCACAAGAATGGAGAGTGAGACTGCTCTTTTTGAGCAGCTCCAGATACTTGTCAAACATTCATTGGGAGTTTAAAATGTGCACAACTCTCCAAATTTAGCCCAGAAAAAAAAAGTCTCTTCCCAGATTAGAAAAAGCAGCACATTTGTCTCTTCCCATTCTTGAGTTCCATTTGTTACCCATAATGCCTTTGGAGAACCTAGTTGGCAGTTGGGCACAGCATTCTTTTTTGCAGAGTGGGAGGCAGAAATTATTTTTCCTGTTGGAAAATGTTTGAAAGCATCTAATGAATGACATTGGGAATTAAGCAGGCAAATATCGGAAGAGGACAACTAGCTTTGGAAGAGGGCTGGATCCAGTGGTGGGTTTCAAAATTTTTTAGAATCTCTTCTGTAGGCATGGCTTGCTTTGTGGGAGTGGTTTGCTGACTATGTGACCGAGTGGGAGTGGCTGGACACCATGTGACTGGGTGGGCGTGGCCAACTTGTAAAATGTGGTTAAACTCTCTTAACGCTGTTGCTTAGCAACCAAAATGTTGGCTCAGAAACTGGCATTTGAAGAACTCAAGTCTTAAAGCTGTCAAGTCACAAGACCCTTGCACCCTTTAGGAAAAAATACCCAGGGATGTTCAAACTTGACAGCTTTAAGACTTTAAGGTTTAGATAGAACTCTTAGAGATGGGCGGGGCGATTGGTGAGCCAGCCAATCAGTGAGCAGCAGGCAGGGGGAGGGAGCTGGAACCAGTTCTAAATGGTACAGTAGATTTGTGAAACCTCTTCTATAGAAGAGGTTGGAACTGGCAGAAACCCACCCCTGGCTAGACCACTTGTGTAAGTCAATGGATGATCTTGGCCTAGTCTTTCTTTCTTTCTCTCTCAATGGAATGTGTAATGGGGAAATACGTATGATAGTTTTGGAGAAATGGTGCTAAGTTATGAATAGGACACTAAATTATGTATGTAAAAATAGGTATAGTTTCAAGTGTGTGAGAGAGAGGTCACACTTTTACACATATACAAGCTTCAAAAACTATGCTATTCCCCTCCCATGCTTATTTTCTATTATTCGAGGGAACATATATAATGCTCTCGCCTTCTACTTTTCCCACAATAATTCTAAACTAATTGATATGATTGGGCTGAGAGAAGGTGACTGACTCAAAAGCCATCCATCCAGCTTTCATATGTAAGGGATGCCAGAATTCACCATCTTCTGGTTTCTAGTCCAGAATCAGAACTTTTAAAACCATAGTTCCTATTCTTGGATCCTTATACATTAGATACTTTTACATATTATGTTAACTCATAGTAATATTTGTTTGAAGCCAGAAATTGTGCACTACCATCTATGCTTTACTATTGTGAGAGAACCCAAGTCAATGTGGCATGTTTAACAAAATGTGATATGGTATGCTATGTGAATTCAACCTTTTCTGGGCTACATTTTCCATCATTTTCAGCAGTCTAGGCTGGAAATGTTGGTAATTATTCTCCAGCACATTTGGAAAACCATAGCTGGGGAGTTAATCTTGTGTTTGAAGTGTTTAAAAAAATTATGAAGGGGTATGCTTGTATTTCAATTGACATTTGACATGTGGCAAGCTCAAATTTGGGATTACTAACACAGTCCATAAAGAATGGGTTGATATGACAGAACATTTCTTCAAACTACCAAAATACAAAAAACCCAAAAAACTAACTGTAACAATAACCCTCAATTCCAAAACAACAATAAAGAGGCAATTAATAAAGAGACTAACTTGTGTAAACAGAGATAGTTCATGGAAGGAGATCGTTGGGAGTGTGGTTATGGAGGAGCCATTTAATTCCCAGTGAATGGTACAGTTGAATTCCACATTTATCTTCTCTTGGAGAAACAGGGCTCCAGGTAACAGAATTGTTTCTCAATCTTGGCAACTGAAGATATGTGGACTTTAACTTCCAGAATTCCCCAACTTCAGGAATTCTGGGAATTGATGTCCACACATGTTCAGGCTGCCAAGGTTGAGAAACACTGGTTCAGAGGGATAGTGAAATAGTTAAAAAAATTATGCTGTGTATCTTGTTATAATGCTAAAATGTAAGGGAAAGGATGATCCAAGGGCCTCTGAGAGGTTGGAACACTTTATGGACTGTTCTAAACCCATCCAACTATCAGACATTATCTCTTTCTCCCACATTTAAATCTCCAGATGATCCAAACCAGCCGGACATTAATTGAATCAGCTGATGCTGTTCATTCCAAGATTATTCAGGTACAACAAGCAGGTAAGTGATGGCATAATATTTAAGTAAATAAGACCTCCTTGGTTTCATGTTCTCTAATGTTTTAAGAATCTCTGGTTTATCACATCTGTTCCCACACTTCTATAGAGTGTAATCTTAGCATTACCTTCAGAGAATATAAGTATAGAATTGCATCACATTTGCTTGATTCCGTAGCCACTGTGGTTCAATTATATGTTAGATTATGGTCAGTTCCACATGTTGATATATTGTGGTTTATCTCTTTGTTTCATCATTTGTTTCATTCATCATGTGAACTGATTATCTTTGAATGAAAGGTGTTTAGAAAATTCCACCTGGTATCATTGCTGTCACGGCTCCTTCACTTAATAACCAAGAAAGAACCCACTCGACTCCATGTTTCAGAATTAAGTGTACTTTTACTGATTATAAGTGACGAGAAGCTAAGCAAAATTGGATCTGAGCAAAAGAGCGTGAAAGCATTAGATATCAATGCATGATTCATTCCTCTCCCCTTGATACCCCAGTCCATAGTCCAATCGTATATCACCCCAGCTGTCAGGTGGGAGACATCTTCAAAAATCATCATCAGGTTGGAATGCTGGACAATTGGCCTTGGCGGGAAACTCCCCTCCTTCCACATGCGCAAACGAATGGTGAGAACAACTCCCAAATAACAGTCCCCCTGTACAGATTATTTTCCACACCCAATTACCATGCCCTCCCTCCCCATTTCAATGGCAGCCAAAAAGCAAGCAGCAAAACAGTGGCTGACATCCAGCCCTCCTCTAGAAAAAGGATGATCATCCCTGCAGAAACGAAAGAACACAGACAAACAGACGAACAACATAACATAGAAGAAAAAGGGAAAGGGAAATAAAGGAGAAATCAATTGAGGTCAAGGCTTGTCCGGGTAGGCAAAGTAGAATTTACGAAGAAGTTGAGGAGCCCGCACATGGGACTTATTGACCCATTCAGCATGAGAGGGAGGGAAATGCTTCCATGCCACAAGGTATTGAATACGGTTCCTCTGCTTCCTAGAGTCGAAAATTTCTTTAATCTCAAAATGCTGCTTGCCCTCAATCAGGAGTGGGGCAGGTGGAGCCACCAAAGGAGCCCGCAATGGAGAAGTG